CGAAAATCAATTTAACAGATTTAAAAATAACTTTGCATAGATCCCCGCATCCTATTGGCCACACGCTGAATCACTTATAAGCTATTGGCTGTACAAACAAGATGGGGTGACCTATTTTTACCCCGTCTGTCTACCGATGATGAGCAACTACGTCAGCTTGCCGACCAATGGCGTGCTGGGATTTATAAATGGTAACGAGGCCGATTTGAATTGGACCAATGAGAGCTTTGATAAGCAGGTTACAGAGTATTTAAATTAGTTTTAACGTATGCTAGAATTTTATTTAAATACATCATAATATTTACTAAAAACAATTTTTGTTTTCATTTAATTTTTTGCTACATGTAGCTTCAAAGTTTAAAAATCAAATGAAAAAATCGGGTGGAGACTTTAGATTTTGAATTCTTGTGTAGAACTTATTTTTGACAATTAAAATAAAAATAATAATATAATAACAACAACAATAATAATAATAATAATAATAATAATAATAATAATAATATTATTATTATTATTAATAAAATTGATTCACGTGTTTAAGCATCATTGAATTTTTCTCGTGACATCATCTCATGGTTCGTAGTTCCTACTTTGTGACTTTTAAACATCACAAAAAGATCTTAACAATCAAAATGATAATAATAATTATTATTTTTGTTGTTATTATAGCAACCAAGACTGTAATTATTATTATTATTATAACTATAATTTCAACGCTATTGATTTCATAACTGTCATCTTTAATACTAATAACATTATTACTATTTATTATTATTAATTATTATTGTTTCTTATTATTATTAATTAATATTATTAATTATTATTATTGTTTTATTATTATTAATATTATTCGTGTTGTCTGGTTTTCTTATAGCATTGCGAGCAGTGCCTGTTTGTATGTATGTGCGTGAAAAAATATCATAATAATTATGACATAATTAAAATTAATAATAATAATTATTATTATTAACAACAAATAATAATAATAAATAATAATAACTATAACGAGAATGATGTTAATGATTTTTTAAATAATTTGCAATAACAATAGTCTCATAAGTTGGAGGCATGTGATGATTCGTACTATCATCATCATCATCATCAACAACAACATCATCATCAACAACAACAACAACATCATCATCAACAACAACAACAACATCATCATCAACAACATCATCATCAACAACATCATCATCAACAACAACTGCAACATCATCATCATCAACAACTGCAACATCAACAACAGCAACAGTTGATGTATCTTCAACACTATTACCAGCCTTACCAACAGCATGTTTGTCATGTTAACGTGGAACCATTGTTTTATCAGTACCATCATCAAAAACATCAACAAGAGCAACAACAACAATATCAACAACAACAACAACTGCAACTGCAACATCAGCGTTATAACCGGCCAGAACATCAACAACATCTTTTGGTTCAACACTCGAAATTTAGTAACAAAAGCAGCAATTACTTTATTTACAACGACAACAATAATGACATCAACAACAATAATTATAACAACAATATCAACAACGGCAATAATAATAATAGCAACAATAACAACAACACCATGAAAACAAAAAGTTATAGCGATAACAACAACACCAAAACGACAAAATCGAGCATCGTAATGAATTTTGTTCCAACATCCTCATCATCATCACTACCACCACCACCATCATCATCATCATCATCATTACCATCATCATCATCGTCGTCATCATCGTCATCATCATCCTCATCATCATCGTTGATATCTTCTTCCACACCAGCTACAACAACACAGTCATCAATTGGAATGAATAGCATGGAATAAACAAAGCTAGATAGGGATCACTCATTGAACAGCATTTTAAAAAAGTTTCATTTCCATTTTGTTTCATTTGAAAATAATCTTCTTCTTTCTTTCTTCTTTCCTTCTTTCTTCATTCATCTATCTTTTCATCCATCTATTTATCCATCCATCCATCCATCCATCCATCCATTCATCCATCCATCCATCCGTTTATTTATTTTTCGCCTTCTATTTTTTCGTTTTAAACTCTCAAATTCCTTTTAAAAGAATTTTCTGATAGTGAACGCTATCACCACCACCACAACAACAGCAACAAAACCAGCAACAACAACAGCAACAACTACTACAACAACAACAACAAAAACAACAGCAACATCAACAACAACAACAAACAACAACAACAACATCAATTCTAAAAGTAGACACGATACTTTCAATCGAAAGAAAACAAATATACGCACTAGAATGAATCTTATTTGATTTTTATATAAGCTATATTATATATATATATATATATATATATATATATATATATATATATATATCTTCTATTTTTTTTATTTTATAATGTACCCTTATACAAAAACATCTGATATAATTTGAAATAATGAGACCAATTCTAATTATTTTTATTAACTAAAATTCTTCCGTTTATGAATGAATGAATGAATGAATGAATGAATGAATGAATGAATGAATGAATGAATGAATGAATGAATGAATGAATGAATGAATGAATGAATGAATGAATGAATGAATGAATGAATGAATGAATGAATGAATGAATGAATTGATGAATGAATGAATGAATGAATGAATGAATGAATGAATGAATGAATGAATGAATGAATGAATGAATGAATGACTGAATGAATGAATGAATGAATGAATGAATGAATGAATGAATGAATGAATGAATGAATGAATGAATGAATGAATGAATGGATTGATGGATGAATAGGTGAATGAATGAATAATGACTTATGGATAAATGGTTGGAGAAACGAATGAATAGACGAATGTATTTCCGGGTTGAATCGTTAGCATTGATTTCTTTTTATCCCATTAAATATTATATAAGAAAAATGATATTTTGAAAACATTGACAATAGTTTTTTTTTATCTTATCTTCATCTTAGTTTGCTGGTTTGTTTAAGTGCCTTATTTGATTTCATTTATTTCGCATTTTCATACATTTTTGATCATATTAAAATAATAACAGTAGAGGATAATTCATATATTAATAACAAAACAATAACGAAAATAATATTGGTAATATTGAATTTTTAAAGTTCTTGTTTATGATTTATCGAAAATTTAACATTAGATTTTATTTGATTTCTTCTGTAACAAATTTGATTCAATTTTGCTAATAAAAAATTCAATTTCTAGTTTTTTTTTGTCAGAAAGTAAATCAAATAAAACAACAATCAAACAATTTAATGGAATTTATTAAATAAAGTTGTCAGTTTTTTTTATTTTTTTCATTTAACTGCAAAATTACAAAAAAAAATTATTTTTCAATAATTGTGAAGCGCACGACGATACGCCTCTGTGTTTACTTTAAGTTGAACTTCACATTTAAATTATTAATTTAAATTTTAAATTGCCATTCAGAGTTCCCCGGAGTCATATTCACTAATTCTTTTTTAAAATTTTCAAATAAACGCTTATTTCAGAAATGTCTTTCTTACAGGTTTGATATTTTAACTTTTTTCAAATATTAAATCAAATTTTTTTCACTTTTGAAAATTTCTTTTTTATAATTTATTTTATAGTTTTATAATTTTATATTTATATATATTATTAATTATTTATGAATTATTTTTAATTATTCTGAGTCTGACTGGCTGACTGAGGTGGTCTCTGCTTTTGCTACCTCTAATGAATAGAACCTCTAATCGTCTAAAATCCTTACTTAACTTTAAAAATTTAAGCAATCCATTTTTAAAGATTAAATTAAAATTTAAATTAAAAAACAGAACATATTTACCACTTGCCTTTTTTAACTAATCTTATATTATAGAATTTATTATTAAATTCATTTGTGTAAAAAAGGAATTTTCAAGTAAATTTAGATTTGTTTCTTTAATTAATTGTGCTTTGTTTGTCCCCAGTGGCGCAGGTTTACATTTTTTGAGAAGGAGCAAGTACGTGGATTGTCATCTGCTTCGGATGGTGGGGGTCCAGGTGATTTATTTAGCGGACAACAAGATCCTTTTGAAAATTTCAAGGTTTTTTGTAAAATTTAAAATAAAATTATTCATACGGAGGACTTTTTTTTAACTAATCAGCTTTATTTCCTAGATATGACATCACATTATCATTATTTTATATTATGAAAAGTGAGAAAGAAAATTTATTCCAAAAATATAAACTATTTTGTCTAGAAATGTTTTTTTTATTATTTTTATATAAAATAATATAAATTGTGGGTTTTGTTACCAAAGACCAAATATATCTTTCCTAATTAAATTTTCAGGATGTGTCGTGGACATGCAGTACTTGTGGTAAAGGTTTAATAGTTCTAGGGGACGAGGAAGGTGAGTATCGTTATCATAACTACCATCATCATCATAATCTCTAAAAAAACCATCATCACCATCATCATTGCCATCATTATCAGGATTCATCTACACGTTTGACCACCAATTCAATGTGAACAGTTTTCGAGCGTACACGAGCGTCGTTCACCTGGTTCATCAATTGAAACAGTACAACATACTCGTTACTGTTGGGGTTGGTTGTGATGTCATCGTGACGTCATCATCATCTTCGTCATCATCATCGTCGTCATCATCTTCATCATCGTCGTAGTCATCACCATCTTTATTATTACTATTATTATTTATTATTTGATAATGATGATGATGATAGTGATGATGGTGATGATGATGATTACAAAAGATTTTTTCTAACAGGAAGATGAGGAGAAGAATGCTTACTTCTTAAAAGTCTGGAATCTAGATAAGGTATTTGTAATATCTAAATAGATCATCACCGTCGTCATCATCATCATCATCATCATTGACATTTCCATCATCATCATCAGGTGGACAGGGCAGGAACACCAGCCTGCCCAAGAGTTGTCAGAGTCACCTCATCTGTCGACAAGAATGCAAAGGTGATTGGTGTGCTTCCACATCTCAACTTAACTATTCCTCTCTATGGCTATTGTGTTTCAACTTTTTTCATCGTCGTGACGTCATCGTGACGTCATCTAAATTACCACATTATGATTATGATCGTTGTTTATCGCCACCACCACCACCACCACCACAGCCGACCAGCCTAGCGGTACACGAAAATATGAACCACATGGCGGTTGGGTTTAGCAATGCCTGCGTCATGCTCTTCACTGGTGACATCATGAAGGATAAGTTAGTGATGATGATGATGATGATGGTGGTGGTGATGTTGATGATGATGATGATGGTGGCGGTAGTGATGATGATGATGATGATGATGGTGATGATGATGGTGGTGGTGGCGGTAGTGATATTGATGATGATGATGATGTCTTTGTTATTGATGATGACGATGACGATGAAGGATCATAACGATGAAGACATCACAACGACGTTAACAACGTACATACAATCAATCTCTGAAAAAATTAATTTCTTATCAACCACAAAACGTAGACACAGCAAAAGTCGCTACCTGTTCGAAGGTCAAGGTCATCAGGAAAATAAGGTCACCGCCCTAGTTTTCAAAACGACCAATCAGCAAGTGAGTTTGTTCGTCGCTACGGAAACGGAAGTTGTTCGGGTTCATTTGTTGCCCAGGGACAGAGATCAGAAGGTTTGTTGTTGATGGTTGTTGTTGGTGGTTGTTGTTGATGGTTGTTGTTGATGGTTGTTGGCGATGGTTGTTGTTGATGGTTGTTGGCGATGGTTGTTGTTGATGGTTGTTGGCGATGGTTGTTGTTAGTGGTTGTTGGTGGTGGTTGTTGGTGGTGGTTGTTGGTGATGGTGGGGCGTGTTTTCATCGAAAGTCAGTAAAGTTCAGTCCTGGCGGGAGTTATTTATCATTTTTAGTTTTTCTTCACAAATGTTCAGACGATAATAATATTAGTGGTTGTAGTAGTAGTAGTAGTAGTAGTAGTAGTAGTAGTAGTAGTTGTTGTTGTTGTTGTTGTTGTTATTGTTGTAGTAGTAGTATTAGTTGTAGCTGTAATTTTTATCATATTAAGCGTTTTAAGATGGTGATGGTGGGGCGTGTTTTCATCGAAAGTCAGTAAAGTTCAGTCCTGGCGGGAGTTATTTATCATTTTTAGTTTTTCTTCACAAATGTTCAGACGATAATAATATTAGTGGTTGTAGTAGTAGTAGTAGTAGTAGTAGTAGTAGTAGTAGTAGTAGTTGTTGTTGTTGTTGTTATTGTTGTAGTAGTAGTATTAGTTGTAGCTGTAATTTTTATCATATTAAGCGTTTTAAGATTGATACCTTTATCATTGTGTATTCACCAACTCTTATCCTCAACAAATAACTTTCAACAATTTTTTCTTTGAAGTTGAGCCTGGATAGCAAGGGCTGTAATGGGCGCTGTTGCCTCCTGCTGACTGATAAGAAACAACTGCAACAATTCATCGTCGCCAGGCAAGATGTCAGTTGCGATGACGATTCCGTTGAGTGTGCTGCTGCTGATGATGGCTGATGATAATGATGATGATGATGATGATGATGATGATGAAGATTGAGCGTGACGATTGAGATGATGATGATGATGGCAAGAATCTCACATGAGCATAGTTATCATCAAGCAGATAAAAACACGCACAAACAGACAGACACAAACAGACAGACACAAACAGACAGACACAAACAGACAGACACACGTGCATACTTACAAATAGACATACAAACAAACATACACACACAAACACGCATGAACACATATACACGCACGTGACATACAGGCGGTTTATTTTTACGAGATAGATGGCCGAGGGCCGTGTTTGGCATTCGAAGGTGAGAAGTTGCAGGTACATTCCTACAAGGGCTATCTAATTATAGTAACTAGGGAATCCCAACAACCTATTAACAGGTTGGAGCTGCTGCAGCTACTACTGCTGCTGATGATGATGATGATGTTGATGATGGAGATGATGATGATGATGAAAATAACCAACTCAGGGCGGAGCAATCAGATGATAACGATAGCTCATCCGAACAACAACAACCACAACAACAACATCAGCAACAACCTCAACAACAACAACATGAAATCAACGTGCTAACAATATACGATCTGCAAAACAAATTCATTGCCTATTCAGCTCCGTTCAATAAAATATTCAATGTCTTTGTTGAGTGGGGTTCACTTTTTGTTCTTTGCTCTGATTTTAAGGTATTGATAATGACGTACATACATACATACGTACATACATACATACATACATACGTACGTACATACATACATACATAAATACATACATACATACATACATACATACATACATACATACATACATACATACATACATACATACATACATACATACATACATACATACATACATACATACATACATACATACATACATACTGTTTTTTGCAACCAACCACATTTCGTGCTTGTTGCAGCGGTTCCTGCGTGTCTGTGTGCTTGAAAATATCCAACTGAATGCCGACATGTGCAATTAACGACAAATCAAAGTGTTAATCCATTTGTTACTTGATGTTTGACGGTTCAGTGTCACTCATCATGTTTTGGTTTTAACATACATACATACATACATACATACATACATACATACATACATACATACATACATAAATACATACATACATACGTTCCATGGGCTCGTACATACATATACACACACAGAGGCATACGTGCATACATACATGCATACACACATGCATACACACAGTTGTACAACTTGCAAGAGAGAGACACTCAGTACAAGTTAGATTTGTTATTCAAGAAGAACTTATATGATCTGGCAGTTAGGTAGGTTGGTTAATTAGTGGATGGATGGAAGAATGAATGAATGAATGAAGGAATAATTGAATGAATGAACAAATTGGATAGAAGAACAAATGAATAAATGAATAGAAAAATGAAATAATTCATTGGCCATGTTTTTTATCATCCACATCATAAATTTTTTTCGACTGCTATCATCTCCAACATCAATATCGTCATCTTCCTTATCATCATCATCACCATCATCATCACTATCATCATCATTACTATCATCATCATCATCCTCATCACTGTCATCATCCTCATCATCACTATCATTATCATCATCAGCTTGGCTCAACAACACGATCAAAGTGGCTTAGCGGATATATACAAACAATATGGTGATCACCTCTACAAGTATGTCTGCCTCTCGTTTGTAACCATCATCATCGTCGTCATCATCGTCGTCATCATCATCGTCGTCATCATCATCGTCGTCATCATCATCATCATCGTCGTCATCATCATCATCGTCACTATCATCTCTCCCATCATCATCGTCATCGTCAAAATGAAGCAAAGGTGACCACGATGGAGCCATGCTGCAGTACATCAAGACCATCGGTCAGCTCGAAGCCTCATACGTCATTAGGAAGGTTAATAACAACAGCTATAATAATAACAATAATAATAACAGTAATAACAGTAATAACAATAATAACAATAATAACAATAATAATAACAATGATCTGACTTAGTTTATAGACGCCTCTCGCATCCACAACCTGACCTATTATCTGCAAGAACTGCACGAGAAGGGCCTGACGAATGACGATCACATAACGCTCCTGTTGAATTGTTACACGAAGTTGAAGGACGTGGAGAAGCTCGATCAGTTCATCATGGTTTATTGTTGCCTCTGTTGTGCAAACACATCACACGCACGCGCACACACACACACACCACACATAAACACACACACAGACGCACAATTTAAACTACGACGCTGAAACAACGATTCGTGTTTGTCGATCAGCTGGCTACCACAAGCAAGCTTTGCACGTCGCCGAGAAGTACAACAAGTTAGTGCTGCTGCTGCAGTTGCTGCTGCAGTTGCTGCTGTGGCGGCGGGGTGAAACCTCATAGGGTGCTTGTTGTATATAATGAATTAATGAGTTAATGAAAGGCGAGTATGTTGAATGCTGATGACGTCGTCACTGCAAGAGTTGCTGACAAACAGCACTCGAATGTTTCTTTTGCCGCCAGAGTACGTGGATGAAATGAGGATGGTCGCCTTTTGGATAAGATGTTTTGGTGAATTTGAAGCATTGTGCTGAAAATTATTGTTTGGATGGTATTTAGTGTGAGTTTTGTCGGTTGAGCGGCATCGACGAGGTCCAGCCCGCAACTCGGCATCTTCAAAGCATCGCCGCTACGAAAGCCAAGGCGGAAAATGTATTGCCGACGCGGTACGGCGATGCAGTGCTTGGGCATCCTGGCCTGGTGGCTATCTAATTACGACAATTCATGCAAACAGAACTGATTGGCTGCTGAAGATCCAGTTGGAACAGATCAAAGACTACAAGAAGGCTCTTGATTGCATAAGCAAGCTGGACAGGGAAGAGGTCATCAAACTTGTTTCAATTATTCTTGAATAAATTAATTAATGCGCGCAACAATTAACATAATAAATGTTGAATAGGCGGAGTTGTACATGAAGAAGTACGGGAAGGAATTGTTGGAGGCAGAACCTGACCTCACCACCAAGTTCATCATCAAGCTCTGTACTGATGATGATGGAGGTTGTACTGATGACGATGTTGATAACGATGATGATGACGATGTTGATGACGACGACGATGATGACGTCAGGTTCCTCGTCACCGAAGCGGAAACTAACAAAGGCGGACGACTTCATGCACATCTTCGTCAACAAGCGCGCCCAACTGACCACATTCCTCGAATGCCTCACCGACGTTCGCCAACTCTTTCTTTCATAATTTGAATGATTGGTTGATTGAATTAATGAAAGAATTAAATAGTGAATGAATGAATAAATGGTCGGGTGAATGAATGAAGGTATGGTCGTTGATTGTTGATTAATTGGTTAATTATTTGTTTGAATAATTGACTGTTTGGTCAGTTGGTTAATGGAACAACTAATTATAATAATTTGGAAACCACATGAACTAACACTAATAGAACCTCGGACCTATCATTAATATTAATCATTCCAGGCCGAATCAGACTCCACCCCCAACATAACGAATACGTTGTTGGAGATGTACCTCTATGAATATGCAAAAGAAAGTGATGCACAGGTTATGATGACGATTCTGTGACGATGATGATGATGATGATGTTGGCTTTGTTGTTGATGATGATTATTATTATTTATATTTTTTTATTCGTGAAGGCGAAGAAAAACATTGGCGAAAAGATCTTAATGATGTTGAAGGATAAGAAGGTTTGCTGCTTGAGGACAGATAAATGGATAAATTAATTAACTAATTAATTAATTAATTAGTTAATTGATGAGAAAATAAATGGATGAATGAATGATTGAATGGATGGATAGAGGAATGAACAAAGAAATTGCATAAAAAAATCATCCATTCGTTTATTCATTCAACAGGCAGTTATTTTTTCTTTCAGTCTTTTTTATATTCATTCATTCGTTCATTCATTCGTTCGTTCATTCATTCACTTATTCATTCATCCAACCAACCAATCAGATGAAGTACGATACGTCGCATGCTCTTGTCTTGTGCCAGTTGCACGACTTCAGCGATGGCATGATCTGCCTCTACGAACAGAATAAAAGGTAGATTGGCTGGTCGGTTGGTTGGTTGGTTGATTGATTGATTGATTGGTCGGTCGATTGATTGATTGATTGATTGATTGATTGATTGATTGATTGATTGATTGATTGATTGATTGATTGATTGATTGATTGATTGATTGATTGATTGATTGATTGATTGGTCGGTCGGTCGGTTGGTTGATTGATTGATTGGTTGATTAATTGGTTGATTGGCTGATTGGTTGGTTGGTTGGTTAGCTGGTTGGTTGAAAAGAGAATAAATTGATTATTAGATGAATAAACGAATGAATGAACGAACGAATGAACGAACGAACAACTTTTCAGATTCATGGAGTTACTTCTACACTTAACAAGCAACGATGAACACGACAAAATCATTGATACATGTCTCAGATACGGGTCAGCAGTATCTTGTATCATCGTCATCATCATTATTATCGTTATTATCATTATTATTATTATTTTTATTATTGTTTTATTGTTGTTATTATTATTATTGTTGTTATATTATTATTATTATTATTATCATCAGATCCATGGAGAGGGACCTTTGGATACATTCACTGATCTACTTCGCCAAGAGGAACGACCCTGGCCACAATCACTACATCAAAATTATACTGGATAGTAAGTGGATGATGGTAATCATCAGCACCACCATCATTATCATCATCAGCACCACCATCATTATCATCATCAGCACCACCATCATTATCATCATCAGCACCACCATCATTATCATCATCAGCACCACCATCATTATCATCATCAGCACCACCATCATTATCATCATCAGCACCACCATCATTATTGTTACCACCACCATCATCATTATCATTACCACTACCATCATCATCATCACCATCGCGACAACAACAGACATAGAAAAGTGCAATATTATGCCCATGTTGAAAGCGTTGAGGATTCTATCCGAAGCATCAAATCTCGATCTGTCTATCGTCGAGGTGAATGAATGAATGAGTGATTGAATGAATGAGTGATTGAATGAATGAGTGATTGAATGAATGAATGAGTGAGTGAACGAATGAATGAGTGAAACAAGAAGAAATGAATGGAGAAATCGATAAACGTGTGGGTGGCTGGATAGATGAATGCATACATGCATGAAAGAACAAATGGATGAATGAATGAATTGATGTATGAACCAGCGAATAAACGAATGAATGAATAAAAAGTGAACGAATGAGTGAATGAATGAATTAACCATTGATAGGATTGATGGATGCATAAGTGGAGGAATGATTAAATGGTGGAGTTGATTATTATTTGTTGGTTTTCTGTCGGTTGTTTGGCAAATATAATAACCAATGTTAATGTAACAGTAAGTAAATAATTGTCGGATTGACGCGTTCAGGATTACATCAAGCGAGCTGTTAAGAGAGATAACGAAACGAAATCTGATAACGAGAAAGTGATTGAAAAGTACGTCAGTGACACAAAGATGATGAGGAACCAGATACAGATATCTAAGACGCAGTATGTGTGTGTGTATGTGTGTGTATGTGCATGTGTGTTTGTTGGTTTTTATGTTTGTTTGTATGGGGATTCTATCCGAAGCATCAAATCTCGATCTGTCTATCGTCGAGGTGAATGAATGAATGAGTGATTGAATGAATGAGTGAGTGATGAGTTAATGAAACGCGAGTATGTTGAATGCTGAATACACTTACTTAACATACATGTATATGTATGCTAAGTAAGTGTAATTTTCACGCTCATACTAAGCCGTGTTGTCACCAGCATTTTTAGCTCATGTTGATGTAACTTTTAAGTAATTGCTAAGAAATCAATAATAATAACATAAATACTAATAATTTATGTTAATTTATGAAATAAATAATTATAATGATTTGTTATTAAAATGATTTATAATAATTTATGAAAAAAAATTATTATTTTGAAAGGGCGAAAGTGATGCAGAACCAGAGATGCAGCATATGCATGCACTCGCTGGATCTGCCATCTCTTCATTTCTTCTGCGATCACTCCTGCCATCTGCAGTCTGTCATTCTTCTTTCTATTATTATTGTTATTATTTATTATTATTGTTGTTGTTGTTGTTATTGTTAGCGATTGTATTTTTTCTTTGTGCAGTTGTTTTGAAAGCTACTCAGAGAACACAAACGAGTGTCCGCTATGCTATCCAACCAACAAGTAGGCGATGATGATGGAGACGACGATGATGACGGTGATGGTGATGATCAAATTAATAATAATAATAATAATAATAATAATAAAGACAATAACAGCAATAATTGTTGACTGACTGTTGTTATTTCTGCACCAACCCGGCCCAACTCATCCCATTCACTTCATAGAACTAGCACAAACATTTTTTCTTTCCAATAAATTTAGAACCTAAATTATGAAATTATGATTTACAAATCTATGGACTATTTACAGGAAGTTGATGGAGAACCTGTACAGTCAGAGACATGACGTCGGCCTGCACGAGACACTCCAGCGACGACTCAACTCACCCACAACTACTGATAGGTCGTCAGACTTTTCTAGTTTTTATAAATATTATGTCTGCCTAATTCTTTGTTTGTCTGTCTGTTTCTTTTTGTCTGTGAGTTTTTTTTCTGTCTGTATGTCTGAGTTATTTATTATCGTGGTCCTATCGCGGCAACTTGTGACTGATCAACGGTTGTCGTGCCTTGCTTCGTTGCTTGCTCGTTTCTTTGTTTGCTTGTCTTTCTGTCTATCTGTCAATAAATCTACCGACTGATCGACCAACTGATCAACCAACCAATTAATCAACCAACCAACCAACCAATCAACTAATCAATCAACCAATCAATCAACCAAATAATCAATCAACCATCCAATCAACCAATCGATCAATCATCTTTATATTTCGTTTAGGTTTGCCGTGGTTGCCGAGTATTTTAGCATGGGATTGTTTGAAGATAAAGATAAGGTGAATGAATGAACGAATGAATGAACGAACGAACGAATGAATTGATAACACTTATGATAGCACGTCGGTATTAACATAACAGATGGAAAAACCGGAAGAAGCATCAAGAAAATAATGATGGGGATGACGAGGATGACATAAAGATGGCGATGACAACCAGCGCAGATGAGGACGATTTTGAACAAATCATTTTCCCATTTGTTTCTTTTATATTTGCACACCCTTCATATTTCTAAACATCATGCGTTTATCTACGTATGTTGGTGTGTATGTTTGTATATGCGTATGTATGTTTGTATGTACGTATGTATATATGTACGTATGTATGTATGTACGTATGTATGTACCTGTACGTATGTATGTATGTATGTACTTGTACGTATGTATGTATGTATGTACTTGTACGTATGTATGTATGTACGTACATATGTATGTTAAAACCAAATCAGCGATGAGTGACACTAAACAGTCAAACATCTGAATAAAATCGGTTAACAATTGATACATATGTATGTAGGGATAACAACACTTGTTTTAACTTTTTACCAGAAGACATTTTATACCTTCGTGATCGAGGAACGTTAAGGACTGATTTTTAGATGGCATTTCACAGGAAAGGGCGACAATTTCGCGATGTTTCTATAAATAATTACCAATTAATTATTCGTGACGGCGTCATAAATCATCTATCTTGAAATAATTTAAAGTATTATAGCAATGTCATAAAGCAGTTTTATTGTTAAAACACCAAAAAATATATTATCACACAAAATACGATCGGCACATCTTTATTGTAATATGCCACGCTCTACGCTATTGTCTTTATTGTATTTTATTCACGTACATACATACATACATTCATATATACAAACATACATTAAACATACATACATATGTAATGTACAAACACATACATACAAACATACAAATATAAAAACAAAAGTTGTACACACGCACATTTACGAATATCAGTTTACGCAACGACTATGGAAAAAGCTTTTATAAAAACTCAGTAAGAGACGAAGATTTAAAAAAGAAGCCATCAAAGTATCGTTACTGTAACTACAACTGGTTACTTCATATTATAAATAAAATATATTTAATATTATTAATGCTATTAAAACAAAAAGCGAGATTGATTATTGTGATTGATACAATGAATGTGTTGAATGACATTGCAAATACAAGCGGTGTACGTTGTGCGTGCCATGTAGGTAATTCAGACGTTTGCATTGTGCGTATTTCTAAGTATTTGTGCGTATTTCTAAGTTTCTGTAGGTATATTTACATTGTATGCATCTATATAAGTAATTATTTGCACGTATAAATGTGTGCGGATGAGGAATCAGAGAGCATTCTGCTGTTATTTCTATTACAAACTTCTAAGCACCTGTTCCTCGAGTGTTTGCAGTTTCAAGTGCTTGCTTGCGTGCGTGCGTGTGTGTGTGTGTGTTTGTGTGTACGTTTCTACGTAGAAGCTATAAAGGTTATTTCCAATCAAATATCATCAACATCCCTCCCACAGCACGAGGTCCTTCATACTCGTTAATCTGTTTCGTTTTCATTCAGTTTCTATTTTCCGTTCATTCGTTTCATTTCTTAAATCTATCAAACATTTAACCATTCATTCAATTTCACTCAAATCTAGTTCCTTCGCACTCTAATCAAGGGCAAAGTTCAGTACTCCTGCACCCTGACTCGAGTACTCTTGCACCTCACTCGAGTACAGTCGTCTTGACGATCATGGACGTAACTCTGTATGGATCGCAGTTGGATGCGGGCCTCCTATCTTCCAAGTAACCGAAACCGTCCGATGCAACTTGTCTCGGTATTCGAATGCTGGCACCTCTGTTCGCCACCCCGGCCGAAAAGTCATCGATGCTCGCCGTTTCGTGGAGACCTGTCACGTGATTGGTTGGTTGCTTGTGATTGGCTGGTTGTGGTTATTAGTGATTAGAAATGTTGATTGTTCATTCTAATGATTACAACGGTTGCTTAAATTTTGAAAGAAATCGTTTATCGATTATCTTTAGAGTGAACGAACGAACTAACTCTTCATCATCAACGAGCGAGCGAGCGAGCGAACGAACGAACAAATTAGATGAACGAAGAACGAACGAACGAACAAATGACTGAACTAACCAGTGAGCCTTCTCTTGTTATCCTCTCCATTCTTGGGATCGTACGCCTTGATGTGCTCCTCATGCCTTCTCGATAACTTCTCGATGGCTTTGTTGATTGCCCTGTTTGCGTTCACAAATTAAGTTATCAGCGTTTGTGAGGAAATGTTTCGAAAATTAAAAAAGTTAATAAAAAAAATTAAGATATTTTGAATAATTTGGTAGAAACGAATGAAGGATAGAAAGACAGAAACAGACTTGAGTCCGCCCTCCTCTCTCATCTCGATTGTGCTGTAGTTGCAGTGTGCCCCAGCCCCGTTCCAATTTCCTGGCATCGGTTTGGGGTTAAAGGTTACAACCACACCGAAATCCTCTGCCACTCTGTAATTGGTCAGTGGATTGAAATTGCTATCGTGTTTGGTGGATGCGAATGGTTGAATATGATTGGTGGCAAACAAAATTGTTGATTTTAATTGGTGTGTTAGGCCAGAAGCGAGGAAGAAAGCAGAGGCAGACCTGTGCAGTATGAACCTCGCCATCCACAAATGGTCTCCAGCCTCAATGCCCTCACAGGGTCCAATCTGATTGGATGACATTTTTAGAAATCATTATGTAATCTTTTCAGAGTCAATTATGTAACGTTGATTTTGAAATTTAATTCAAAACATTTTACGGCTTTAACTTTATTTCTCAGTTTAAAGTTAAAAACACAATTTTAAAAATAGAAACAAATACTGACTTGGAATTCCCACTGAGAGGGCATGACCTCTGCATTTGTGCCGGCGATTTTGATGCCGGCGAAGAGGCAGGCCCTGTAGTGGCATTCGAGGATGTCCCTGCCGTACTGCTTATCGCTACCGACTGCGCAATAATATGGGCCTGGGGTGGTGGTGATGGAAACGATGAGGGGGGCGCCGATGAAGGTGGTAATGAAGACGACGATGATGACGACGGCGACGATGACTAGAAGCATGACGGTTCGCTACATTCATGACGGTTACTAATACAGATCTAAAAATAACCTTGTGGGCCGGGATATCCCAGCTTGGGCCAGCCCAAAGGATGTCCATCGACGTCGAGGAGTGTGTATTCCTGCTCGATACCGAACCAGGGGTGTTGGTCAGTGGCCTTCGTCATCACTTCTTTACATTCCACACGATAGTTGCTGTCTGTTTGGTGACGATGAGATGACGTTTACAATGAAGATGTAGACGTTGTTACTGATGATGATGTGTTTTTTAATAAACAGTGCAGTGATAACAAAATCCATCTTTACTAGAACACAATCAACCAACAACCAGTCAGCCAGCAAGCCAACTAACCAACCAACCACCCACAAACCAGCAGGCAGATTGTTGTACTTATAGGTGTCGCAGAGCACTAATTTATTATTCCCCCTTCTAAACGGATCGTTGAAGAGTGCCACAGGTTTCAGGAACATGTCAGAGTTGGAGCCCTCCGCTTGGTAAGTACTCGAACCATCGTAGTTCCATATTGGCAGTTCTGAGGGCAATTTAGATTTTTTATTTGTTAGTTTCATTTTCACACGCCTCATACAGAACTTTAAACTGTCATTATCAATATAGATTAACCAGTCAATAGCATAATATCGAATTAGTTAATTTACCTTCAGCTTTTTGTGGCACAAAGTTGACAGTTCTTGTTTTGCATCTGAGGTATTCACCTGTCCCATCGATCCACACGTACATGGCCTAACAAATTTTGTTTTCAAGTGTGACAATTCATAAAATACGCAGAATATCTGATGAAATGAACATAATAATTGAAATATAGACCTGTATCTGATCATCAGCTTGTGGCAGGCTCATGTAATGTTGGGTCATTTGCTTGTTTAAGGTTGCTCCTGGCATTTTTGTAGGTTTTGTCTTCGGTTTCTACAAAAAAAAGGGTTCTATTCTTATAAGGTGGTCATGATTTCGTAAAATAATGACATACTAGTTTAGATATAACGATTTTCCATTTATTTAATAAGTAATCCAGTTAAAAACCATTGAAAACAATCATTTTTCGTTACAAAATGTTCCAAACAAAATATTATTAATTACTATGAAAGAACATCTCTTATTTAGGTGAAGTTCGCTTTTAACTTATATACAAGCTAAAAAATTCATAGACAAAGATAAAATTAGCATGAAAGTTTCGTTCGATTTCCTAATTTACGAATAAATTAGTGAAAGAAATGATGCGAATAATTAAAAATGTATTTTATTTTAATTAGGTTTTCGCACTTTTCAGCGAGCGTCACTCGATTCACAAAATTTAAATTTCAAATTTCCGAAACCAACCAACCATTTACTACTGAACGGTAAGTAACTCAGTACCACGTCACACATTTATTTTATCACCCAAAGTTCATTTTACAATTGATAGTTCGAAGTTCAACAGCTAGATGAACGAGAAATAAACAAATAATTCACCGTTTTAAGAAAGGTTTGACGCAGATTTTCACGATAAAAAACCTAAATCTACTAACTAAATTAATTAAATAATTATTATTATATCCACTCATTACCCATTGAGAAGCTAAAAGAATGAAATATTGGGTATTAAATATTAAAAGCACACACAAAAATAAAACACAAAACAATAAAAATGGCAAAATGAGGAGAAGCTTTTGAATTTAAAAACCTTTTGTTCTTTCTTTCAAATCTTCCTTCTTCTTTAATCTTTCCACTCAAAATAAATTACAAAATAAGGTAATAAATAAAAAGTTAGTGTTATAAAGTTAGCATTAATTTAAGTTGAAAAAAGTACAAAAATTATATAAAAGATTACATCAGAACGGTCGTATTAGTTGAGGATTTACGAATTGGCATGATTGATTCGAAACATTTATACACAATGCTGGTGTTAACGCAAAACACAGCGACAAAATTTGACCTGCATATCTCGATTCCGATTGGCTGTCGAGATGTTTACAAGGTGTTGCTTAAAACGTGAACTAATTTTGTGAAGCACGTGCTCGGATGGTGAAATTTTGTTGGGGAGCTTCTGATTGGTTGATTGAATGGTTGGTTGGTTGGTTGGTTGGTTGGTTGGTTGGTTGACTGTTTGGTTGGTCAATTGGTTGGCTTATTGGCTGACAGAATGATTTGTTATCGCTGGTTGGTTGATTGTTGGTTGATTGGTGGCTGATTGGTTGGTTGATTGTTTATTGGCTGGTTGGTTAGTTGTTGATTTTTTTATAGATAATGTTATTGTGTGTTTGCTCTATAGCATTCGAATTTTTTACTTGATAATGATAAAAATCTTTATTATTATTATTGTTGTTGTTGTGTTGTTGTTGTTGTTGTAGCACGATATTGAATAATGAGAAGGAACGTGATTGTTACATAACGCACTCGATCAGTCAGTCAGCTGATGGAAGCCTACTTAGGTAGATGAGAATAATGTAGATGTTGTTCATGGCGCTGGTGCATATGATAATCATTATCTACGTTCCATTGTTGTGCTGCTTGTTCAATCGTTCGTTCGTTTGTTTGCTTGTTGATTTGTGGCGACGATGATGAAGTTGTTGTTGATGACGACGTAATAGTCAATTGATTGTGGCGATATATTTGATGAAAAATAATGATTAAATGGATGATTTAATGAGTGAATAAATGAACACAGGAAAAAAGGAGTGAGTGAGTGAGTGAGTGAGTGAGTGAGTGAGTGAGTGAGCGAGCGAGCGAGCGAGTGAGAGAATAAATTCAAGTACAAATGAATGAGTGAATAAGTAAATGAATGAACGAATCATCAAATGAATGCTTATTCTCTTTAAAAATGTTACTTTCAAACGAAATGAAACCAAACCGCCGTGTGTGTGTTTGAAAAGACGACCGTGATGATGGCGACGACGATGAAGGTGATGATAATAATGATAATGATGACGTGTCTGATGGTTTATATTGTTTGCTTGTCTTCAAGTATGTACGTTTATCTGTCTGTCTGTCTGTCGGTCTGTTTGAGCTATTTGGAAGATTGAATGAATGAATGAATGAACGAGTGAGAAAATGAATAAACGAACAAAAGATGGATTGAATGAATAAATGACAAAAGAAAGAATAGACGAATGTTAGTCTCGCATTGTTTGATTGTGTGGCTTGTCAAAGCGTAAAATTTGAACAATTTCTTCTTTAAAAAAATCATGAAGTGATTTATATTGTTAAATTTATTTCATCTTATTCAATCTGTTATCTTTAGTAATTTTTATTTAACTATAATATATTTGCTTTTTTTTGTCCATTCACCAGTTCGCTCTATCAATCTGTTATTCTAACTATCTTTTTTCTTTCTTTCTATCTTTCTTTCATACCTTTCTTTAAACCATTCGTTCGTTCGTTCACTCATTCGTTCGTTCGTTCGTTCACTCATTCGTTCGTTCAA